GCTGACACCGGAGAGAGAGAGAGAGAGAGAGAGAGAGAGAGAGAGAGAGAGAGAGAGAGAGAGAGAGAGAGAGAGATTCGCCCACCTTATGTGTCGGCCTCGTGATGTCTTGTCTCCAACTCCCTCCTGAGTCCCCAAACTCCTCACTGCCCGCTGATCAGTCTTGCAAGGGCACACGGCATGGGAGCTCCAACGATGGCAGACAACAGGGTGAGGACATTGGAACTCCGACGATGGCGAACAACGGGCAGCACGGACGACAACGAGTAGGGACTCGTCACTCGGGAGTGGGCCGGCGTCAACAACGGGCAGGGATTGTGGAACAGTGAGGGGAGGCAATGCAAACGGGCGGGAGGCATTGGGCAACGCTTTCAAAATTGGCATTGAATATTCCGCTGGAAGTTGGGAAAGTACATCGAGGCAGACTTCAAAGGCCTCACTCGAAAGGCCCGATTCGAAGTCGGGAGTAGAGGCTGCGCTAAACCGAAAAAAAAAGGACGCCCCTTCATTCAAACAGGACCCCAGGTTCTGCTGGCGGGAAATGGGGGAGAACCTGGGGAGAATGGGGGAGAGGGAGGGGGGGGGCGAAAGGAACGGGTGGTACCACGGTTACCCAGTGGGAGCTTGCACCCGCCCGTACCCACCTATTTCTGATTTCGCCAACGGTAACTGCCCATACCCGTATTTTTTTTTTTTTCTGGCCGCCCATACCCGGTTTTTTTTTTCCGCCCCTAAGCCTACCTGCCCCTACCCACCCATGATATCCAAAAAGGGCAACTGTGCCCGCCCTAACAAACCCCACCTTTGCTTTGTGCCTGCCCGTGCCCAACTACCCCTTCGGAAGGGGTACCCATACCCGCTCGTAACCTGTCGGCTACAGTTGGGTACAGTCGGGTATGGGCAACGGTTACCCGTTTGCCACCTTTGATCGGCCGAGAGATCCGTTTTCTAGCCCTGTCCATCTCCTCTCTTCTTCGCCATCTCTTGTTCTTGTCACACACATACCTGGCGACACCCCCGTCCCGATTCATCCTTCCTCACTTCCTTTGTTGTTTTTACTTTTTTTTTTTTCTCCTCGCGCCCGTCCCCTTCGCTGCTTCTCCTCCGGCCCACTGTTCCAGCTATTGCCTTTCACCTTCTCCTACCCCGTTTGTACCTGGTCGTGGAACCGCGTCGGGTTCAGTCGGGTTTTCTCCTTCTCTTGGAGGCTTATCCAGTGCCAGCGCCGACAACGCAGCGCCCGCTGTTCGCTGCCTCATTTCACAGGCTTAACACCCGATGCTTGCTTGCGCTATTGTTCCCCCCGTAGACTGCTTAGCACTGCTCGGTCCGATTAATCGCCTGTCTCAGCAACTAGCCCCATCTTAGCAACTAGGCGACAGAGTTCTGCCATTGGTTTCCTTCTTTCTTCACCCGTCTCAGCAACTAGCTCCGTCGCCTCTTCGACGTTCCGGCTGCGCTCGAATGTGACCGGGCTCTACCGATGAGTAATATAGCCGCCCGACCAGCCTCAACCCTTTTCACCATAGCCCCTCTCTTCAAATGAATCTAGCGCGAAAACGCGCCCAAATTTATTTCATCCGTCAATCCCGACTTCTCTCCGCTGCTGCCCGTCGCTCCCTGCCTTACCTCATCGTCCTAGCGCCTGTGAACGACCAAAAAAACGTGGTGCGTTCAACTGGTCAGGCAACTTTGCAGGATGCTTCTGGCGAGGCTAGCTACGATCGGTTCGATTAGTCTTTTGCCCCTATACCCTATTCCGACGAACGAAACTCCTCGGCGGCTAGCACTACCTCCGTTCTGACGTTGTCGAGCGCATCGGTCCGACACCGCACCAGGGCAGCGTGGGACCCTCCCGGCCGCGTCACGCAGGAGTTGGAATTAAATCCTTCGTCGCAAAAATATATGGAGCTTTCGCAAGCCGCTGAGGCTGAGTGCGCAAGCCATACCTCTCGCGAGCCCCTACGACAGGGATAGGGCCTACGCGAGGCACATCTTACCTCCACCTTACGGGAGTTGTCACCTCCCTTCGGTGGGCGTATCCCTGCCGAGCTACCAGTCCATAGTACCAGAGCTAATCAGTTGCAGTCGCAGAGGTGGACCAGCCGAAGGTGTTTTCTCGTTCGCTGTAGCATAGGGGGTACGCACGGTAGTACGCCTCTATCGAACCCGCACACGAACCGGCATCTTGGGGGGTTGAGGTCCCAAACGCGGTTCGTCGCCGGTCGACTAGGACGCATATCACACACCACACGCACACCACTCTAACAACCGCAAGACAACAACACACACATACACACGCATACGAAACGACACAACCCAAACAACGCGACAACGCTCCTAGCCCCTCGGTAGCCAACCCATAACTTTCCGACGCGGAAATCGAATAGGCGTCACACGCGAGACTTAGTATAAAACCGCGCGGACGGAGGGCCTACTCATATCGTCTAGCAATGCAAACGTACGCAAGCAGTCACAATGATGTCGTACTATGTAGTACCCATACTCATGCGGTCCTCGTTAATCTCGAGGGTCGCATCCGACACTCAAGTGTCGGCTAACATGCGCCTTGAGGGTTAATCTCTCGACGTTGGACAGCCGCCTTGCGCGGTTGAAGACCACATACCCTCTTCTGCACTCTGTGCACAGTGGGTAGTACACAGGTCCATACCTTGGGTGACAGTCGTTTCCTGCGGCTCTGTGATGAGTCTCACTCCAGGCCTGGGCGAAAGTCAAGGGGTTTGACTTTGACGGCTGTCACGGACTACAACGTCCAACCATACAACTCTAAAAAGCAAAGGTAAAATGAGAATCCCTCTTTTCTCTCAAGACRTMACCTGGTGAACCCTTATGCCTAATTACAGTAGGCCTCTCAAAKACCCAAGACACYTATAAATATATGAGGGTTAATTATATAGGACGAYCACTTSTCACAATCCCAGTGAGGCTCCTCTCAACCATGTATACATGTAATCGCAGGCAATCATATCTAGAGCCCGATCCACAAACGCACCTGCAATCACATCAAAGATTCGAACAAAMGTCCACGCACTACACGGGGTCAACTTCAACCATTCCTTGCACTCATACTCCTTGCTTTAGCCATACAAACCTCACTCTTGTGCAACTCCCCAAAATAACTACTCAGTACTTTAACTWAATGRCCATKRAATAAAGTYCGGGTGAAAAYACAATGAAWCAGTTCAAAYCACAGGGCTAAAGCCTTTAGGTTGAGTGGCAARAGTGGATTGGAGTTGAATCGCAAACCGACGAATCGRCAACCGACCTGTTATCAGTGATAACAGAAGATGATCCTCAAGGGATCAAGCTGAATCTAGTCCTGAACTTGAATAAAACGATCAAGAGGACCTGTAACACATGACAGGTCAATGCCCCAGGCTAAACCTATAAGCTCATGGAGAATAACCTCCATATCACAATCTCACAAAAATCCTCTTAGTTAATTACATCTAACCCTACCCCTAATCGCGTGTCCAAAGAAAGGTAGACTCATAGCAGAATCTCTCCTATTTAGAGTAGACTATCAAAATCTCCACCTGTCAAAATGTAATCTGTGGACTACCAGAATCGACACCTGTCAAAATATAATCTATCTCCTTTAAACTAAGAAACTTTCAGCAGCGCTTCCCGTAGAAAAAGTGTTTTTCCAATTTATATAAGTCCAAATATGAAAGCAGAAATAATCTTCAACTCTTGGAAAGTCAAATTCTGTCTAACTCCCTGAATTAGTAAAAATTTAGACATCACTCCCTTTAGAAAGAGAGACTTCCATGATTTATACTACGTTAGATATGAACTCAAAAGACAACTTGAGTTTAACTTAGACAAGATTTAACTAACTCCTTATTTTTGCAGAAATTTCGGCAGCACTCCCTTTAGAAAAGCGCTTTCCCAAAATTTACACAAAGCTAAGTCCAAGATTTGAAAAGAACTTTGACTTCTCAAAGTCCAATTTTGTCTAACTCCCTGAATAAGCAAAAATTTGGGCAGCACTCCCTGTAGAAAATGATACTTTTCAGATTTTTACTAGGTCAGATATAAAGAAAAGACAAGTTGAACTTTGACAAGTCAAAAATTGACTAACTCCTTGGATTTGTAGAAATTTCGGCAGCGCTTCCCGTAGAGAAAGTAGCTTACCCTGATTTATACAAAACCAAGTACAAAAAATGATCCAAGAAAATGCGACAATTGACCT